ACCTCATGTGCATTCTTTATGTCATTCCAGGCGGTGACAACTAGCTCTACCTTCCAAAAAGTTGCCTCCAAAGGGTGCTGGTACTTCGCATAGTGATAGTTGATGGAGGCGTGCAGGTTAGTGAAGTAGTCATCCAGCACCTGAGTAAGGAGGGTGTGGTAGTAGGCTATCTTCGGAGCCTGCTTGAAGTAGTATTTGCACATCCAACCCATCTCCTCATCCACCACAGGGACAACTAGGGGTGGCACAGGCGTTGGTGAAGTAGCTGATGACTCCGTTGGTGTAGCTGCAACAGCATAGACAGGTGCAATAGCTGGAGTAGGAGTAGGTGCGGGTGCAGGTGTCGGGGTAGCCATCCACTCCTCATCTTCCTCGATCAAGGGTTCCACCTCATCATCGGAGATGACCACAATCTCCTTCTCCACCTGTGGAGCACGGGGGGTGAACATGGCACGGTAGCCTGCAGTGCTGAGGCGGGTTGTCTTCGGGTTATGAGACATCTATAGATTTAGAGTAAGATAGAATTAGAATCAACAATTTTATATAATAGATTAAGGTATGAAAAGCATAAATATTTTAATAAAATAACAAGAATGAGACAATAAGCATGAAACCAGTGGAGCAAAGTTGCTAAAACGACCATCTCTAACTAGGCTTGCGTCCTACAGTCAACACGGCTTTGATATCAATTTGTCACACCCAATTTTAAGGATAAAATTGAATGCATGAAACTCATGTGTGCCCAGGGATCAGTCACACACATAAGTTGACAAATTACAGAAAGTATCATCACGGTGTATCTTACATCACGATTATTACCATCACATAGTCATACACATCACAACGGAAAATAAAAAGGTAGCTCTCTCATGGTAGCTCCAACACAGGGATGGTCAACTGGTTGACCACAAGCCTAAAAGTCCTCTGGAAACTCCTCATACTCATTGACATCTGTTACCCATCCGGGATTTTTATCCAAATATTGAAAGTAAACAAGCATAAGTACTTCCCGTACTTAACAAGATAACATGGGGTTATGAAAGCTCAAAAAGGATGACTCTGGTTTACTGCGGTTAGCACTTTTAGTAAGTCAAGATTTTATCATCAACTATTATCAAGTTATGCTTAAGCCCCAATTAAACCCACATGATCAGATATCAGAATCAATTATATCATATTCTCAACGTAGAACATCATAAATAAATAAACAACAACAAATAATCAGTTATTCTATGCGTTTTCCGGGCCGCTCGTGACCATGAGCACGGCTGTTATAACAGTTTGTAACACTCTGCAGAGGTTGTGCACATTCACCGTGAGTCGTGATTCCCATATATGTCCGAGTTAATTACTCCCATATCACTGCCAAGGTGAGCGGGCGGGGTACATCAAGGTAGATCCCATGCTATACTTGCCCTGGTTAGCAAACTCCTACTGGTTCTGCTGGTCGTCAAAGAACTCTTGGTCTCCAACGTTCTCCTCACCGTCTGAACTCGACCAACAAAGCAACATACAAGCATTCCAAAGGCATTCATGCAAAGCAAACAAACCTATAGTTAGAACAGTAGACCAGCAGTATAGAAAACAAGATAAAATATTTATGAAAAGATTCTATGTCTCGCTACGATCACGTCAACGTGAAGATCACAAAAAACGAGCTAAAACACGAAAGTTATGAATTAAACAGGGTCTCCTATAGCAATTTATTTAATTAAATCTAACCTCAAATTTAAATGTTGCAAACATGTTTTACAGTGCTATTAACATGTAGATAACTTTATTACGAATCTAATGCAATTTGAACGGGTCGATTCGGAGCTAAAACGACGATTTTATAAGCAAAACAATGCAGTGGCATTTCTGTAAATAGAATAAACTATTTTTGAATTTAAATAAATCAAATATGGGATATTTCAACCGGCCGAGGACTGCGGGTTCAATTAGGCAAAACTTGGGGGGTCTCTTTAGCAAAAAGACCCGCGAAGGGGTATCGGCCATCCTGGGCCATTGGATCACGGATGGACGGCTTAGATTAGAGCTGAGGGGGAGAGAGAGAAGGCCGGCGACCGAAAATAGTGTCGGCACGGCGGCGCTGCTATTGCCGACGGCGAGGAGGTCATCAGCGCGATCGATATGGGCCCTACAGACCGCGGTTTGCCCATCCGAGAGCACCGGGGGAGAGAGGAGGTGAAGGCGACCTCGCCTAGGCCGAGAACGCGGCCAAAGGACACGGCCGACACGGTTGTGACCATGGCCGGCGGCGAGAAGGTCCCTGGCGCACGCGGCTAGGGCCCTAGAGGCCATGATTTATGAAAGTAAAGGCACAGGGTGAAAAGAGGGGAACAAGGGCTCTCACCGCGGATGAAAACGAAGACGAAGCCAGCTCGGGGACGGCGGACCGCGCGGTGGTTTCTGAGCTCGGCGGATTCGCTGCTGCTGCGGTGGTTGCGGCTTCCGCGCGCTTAGGCGTGTGCAAGAGTGGAGCGGGGGAGGCAGCAAGGAGGGCGGCGACGGGGTCGACTGCTTTTATAGAGGCCAGGGCACAGGGGGAGACGCTCCCACGACGCGAGGTGGGCGCGGGCGGCGGTTGCGGCTTGACCGCGCACGGTGCGTGAGATGGGAAACGGCGCCGACAAGCGGGCCCAGCCGTCAGCAGCAGAGAGAAGGAGGGAGGGCGCGGCGGCGGTTGTTCGCCCGATTGGGCCAGCCTGAGAGGAAAACGGGAGGAGGGGAAAGGAGGCAGGCGAGCGGGCCGGCGGGAAATGGGCCAGCAGGCCGAAAACGAGGAAGGGAGGGGGAGGGACAGAATTTCCTTTTCTTTTTTTTCCAAATCAATTTTCAAATTCATTTTCAAATGATTTTTGAATCCTTTTGAGTTTAAATCAAAACCACTCAACATATTAAATAAAATGCTGCAGCATGAGTGCATCAACATGTATATATCCTTATGATTGATTTTAGTTTCACAAAAATTATTATTTTCCTATATTTGAATGCACACATAATAACATAAATAAATCAAATTTAACTATTTTAAAAGAATGCAAATTTTAGGGTGTTACACTAAACTCTGGTGCTTCCTCTATGAGCCACCGAATTTTGATGGGTGGCTGAACCTTCTGCAGAAACTTTAGTGCTGCATATCCTAAGCTCCGGCACTCCCCGGCCACAACCATTGGAGCTTTAGGTGGGTCTGTAGACCCTTTGTACAATTGCTGCCCTTCTGTTGAATTGAGCCTAAGCTTCGATGTCAATACCAGGGAACCACCAAAGAAATCCGGTGACTCTAGACAAAGCTGGTTTGGCTCCTTTCTTCACGTCCTCTCGTCTAGGCTTCTTGTACTTCATGTCTACCTTAGACTTCTTGCATGTCTTCTATGATCTTTAACAATGCTCCTTGGTGTTACTTGAGGTGTTGATCACTTGATCTTTATGTTTCCTTTGTCCAAGGCATCCTTGCATCCAAATGAACTAAACACCTTGCATACTAGCAAACCACATTAATTAATTTGACCATATTATCAATCAACCACCAAAATCCCATATGGTCCTTGCTAGGTGCCATTTTCCTTATAGAGAGATTTGACTAAAAGATACAAGAAGAACATGAGTATAGGATGTTATCCATTTATATTAACATTTATTAATATTGTATTGAATAGTTTATTAGCTTACAAACGATCTCAAATAAAAAAATTTCAACTATAAAGTTTTTGATCTTGTAGAGCACTATAATTTAGTATATATAGGATGATTCTCCATCCGATATTGTTGAAAATTTCAAAATATGATAATTTAAAATAAATATTTGTGACTCTAAACAATTTTAAATAAAAAACTTGTTAACTACAAAGTTATAGATCACGTCGACCACACTATAACTTTGGTATTGACCATATCAATATCCAAGGTTGTTTGAAAATTATGAAACTTAAATTTTAACACCTAAGAGTCAAACTTAAGCATATATTTGAGACTAAATGGTTTCAAATAAAAAACTTGTCAACTAAAAAGTTGTAGATCACATTGAAAATTAAAACTATGGTTTATACCTTGTCAATAGTCGACATACAATTAGCAAAGAAGAGAAAAGACCTTACCACCCCTTATTAAGCTTCTTAACTTTAACTGCACTCACCACTTACCGAGAAGCTGGAGCAATGAGTTTTGCTGTTTTCAATAATATATTGAATGTTGTTGCACCCACTACCACTACTGGAAACTCGAATATTTCTGTGGGTGATGAATTTTTCTGTGCGTTTTTTTCGGCACACACAGAAAAAATCATTTCGATTTGTTCGAGGGGATAAAAAAAGAGGTACGATCTATCTCTAAATAATAGTCTAAACTACCCACGAATCTCAATGACCAAGAAAAGAATTGGTAATTAGTGTGGAAAAGAGTCTAGAGTACCAGGAATCCAAAAGAAAGAGGTTTCAAAATATACCGACAAAAAAATACGAAAACCCACAGGGTAATTATATCATTTTTCTGTGCGTGAGAGTCCACACAGAAAAAATGAAATTATTCTGTGAGTATTTTTAAAACGCACAGAAAAACAATTTACACACACAGAAAAATATCAATTATTCTGTAGGTTTCTATATTACCCACAGATTAAAGTTACATACACACAGGAAAATAATCCTAAACTTAAATCTCCACGACCGAAGCCTCGTATCCTCCGCATTCACCCCCGCAACCCTCCTCCACCCATCCACCGCCAGCTCTCTTCTCGTCGCCCTAGCTCCGCTACTTCCCCTCCCGACGCCCAAACGCAGCCCCCTCGTCGCACGGCCGATGCGCGGGTGCGGCCCTCCAAGCACGCCGTCCCTCTCCCAGGCGTGGCCCTCTCAGCGCGCGGCCCCTCCCAGGCGTGGCTCTCTGGGCGCCTCCCCCCAGCGCACCGCCCCTCCCGGACACGGCCCTCCTAGGCACGTCCCTCACGGTGCGCCGCCCCTCCCGAGCACAGCCCTGACGGCGTGCGGGCCCTCCCGAGCATGGTGGATCTGGAGCCCCTTCTCAGCCCGACATCCAGATCTGCAACTCCAAGCGCAACCACATCAGGGCAGTTGCAGCTCCGAGTGCAGCCTCCTTCCAGTGGCCGAGGTGAGCCCTTTGCCAACGACAAGCACCCACAACACAAGCCAGGTATGCATGTTCCTTCTCTTCTCTTTTGTGCAAATTTGAGAACGAACCCTAATTTAAGCTATTTGGTTATGTGTATTCAGAACAGATCTGATGTAATCCCATGTGTATGCTATAGGATGTGGATTGAATTTCGTTAATATAACTAGTACTGATTTTTTTACCAGAGCAATACATGTTGAAAAATCTGTACTATCCTATTTTCAGTATTTGACTAATACATTTTTACCAAATACCAACATTTTAAAGCATGTTTTTATCGGCCAGGAATTATAATCCAAGTTGATTTGGTTAACTGAATTGCAAAACTATGTTTTATGACAACTTTCAAAGCTAGGCCGTATTTCAGTCATGCTTCTGTAATAGCCACCTAGCTTCTCTAGGATTTTTTTTTCACCTGCAAAGCTAGGCCGTTGTTCAGTAGTCATGCTTCTGCACCCAATACATAGGTCCATACTCTACACATTATTATGTAGAATTTTTCTGTGTTTGGAGCAAATTCTCTTGATTGTTCATATTATTGAAAATGATCTTGCCAGGTCTTTGAACCATTTGGACAAGTGGAGCTTGTCCAGTTGCCATTGGATCCTCTCACTGGGCTATGCAAAGGTTTTGGTTTTGTGCAGGTTAGTATTTCTCCATGAAGAAATTCTTTGGTGCTTAATTCTCACCATTTCTATTTCATCATTTAGTTTGTACGTCTTGAAGATGCAAAAGCGGCTCAGAGTTTGAATGGGCAACTTGAGATTGCTGGAAGAGTAATCAAGGTAAAAATATTGTTGGGAGTTACCAGCATTCATCTCGTGTTCCTATTTGAGCTCGGTTATGTCGACATTATGGTAAACACTTGTCGGCCAGTGTTTCATTGTGAGCCAGACCAAACAAACAGTGCAAGTTAGTGGAGCTACAGGAGATTTGGATGATGATGATGGTGGAGGCCTGGTGGGTTTCAACTAGTCTCAATTTTTATTGAATATTATTAGTATGTTTTTGTTTGCATGCTATTTTGCCATTCAATGTTGACACTATCGTAATAGTTAAGCATTGCTTCTATTAAGAATTGGGAGTTGCATTCCTTTGTAAAGCTAACATTCCAAGCGCACTCTCTTTTGGTTTTACATACATAAAAAGTGTGCCCAAGTCCTTTTGGTCTTTTCACGACTCTTTAAAACGAGCCTACTTAGTCTTATACAAAAATAGGTGTTCGTATATATTATCTATATAACATATTATGTTTGTTGTGTGGTCCCTGCAGCACTTTGAATGCCGCCCAGAGCTCTTCTAATGCGTAAAATTGGACCGCAGTGGCATTACAACCAGTACCTTTTTTAGTTGATTGCATAATAATCTTCGTGACATTTTGATAAGTATAACTCTTAAAAAATATTTAGTATAGTTCCATTATTTGGAGCATATTTATTTATTTGTTAATTAATTGGTGGCGGAGCTGCACATTTGGTTTCTTGAGGTGCTGAATGGACTATTCCTCCATAATTTGATTTTTTGTGTGGCAATGCAGAGAGACTTCATTTCATTTAGAATTCCATTATCTTGCTTGCTTGTACCAAAGTGCCATTATTTGTACCCACATCTCCCATTATTGACCTCTACTATATTATCGCCAGATTCAACCACCACTACAACAGAACGCTGTTTCCATATATATCTAGCTTATCAAGGTCATTCTCCATGGACCTCCTCTAGTTCTTTGGTGTAAAGTGGTTTTTGGCTGAAATATTCTGCTTAGTGTTTACTACAGTTCTAGTATTTAGTGCCGCTTGCACTAAATGCAAATTCGTGATGGCGAATTAATGATGTTTGAACTTGACATATGAGGGGAAACTTGTTACAATATCCTTACCAGTTTGATGTAAATTTCAATGATTGGCTTCATAAGAAACTTGAGTTAAATTTTGTTATAGTAGATTTACCCTTTGTGTGTCTTTGTATCTTACTCAATGGACGCGTCAACCTTTTGTGTTTCTGCGATTTGACTGGTGGGATGGGCACTCGCCGGTTTGAGTACTCCAGCAGTAATACCAATCAGATTTGTCCTTGGTGCTGCTCCACCTGCAGCTCCTCTTCTGCACTCTACAAAGTTGCTTGGTCTTGGTTCAATTCCTGGGGCAACTCTTCCAATTACTACCCGTCTATTGATTTGGCTCCACCTAGTGAATGCCTATTGCTCAAGAATATGTTTGATCCAAATTTGGAGGTCGAGGATTTCTCTGCATATTATGCCAAGTCATTTAATTGTTGCTCATGGAGTTTGGGGTATGTAATGTGCCAGTGGTATGTAATGTGCAGTCAACATGAATTCTTTATTTCTCCAATAGCACATGAAAAATATTTGGTTTGATAAGATTTGGGAGGCTAGCATGTTGTTTAACTATTTATTTGCATGAATCTTAATTCATTGTTTACACATGTCTTTAGGACCATTTTAGCGTTTTGCACAACACTATAGATATGCTTTAGAGTTTCAGGAGTATGCTTATTTCAAGTTCCATACTAATCTGGCTTTGAAAACTGTTTTTAGTGTATATTTCTTGTTAAGTATGCACAGCTGTTAGGCTTCACTGATTGATGTAGTCCTTTAATCATCAAACAGATAAGCGAGTGGGGAAAGTAACTTGGGATATTTTGACAGTCTCGTGCCGCGCATTTCTCCCCTTCCCTAACTATGCCTTGTGACTTTTTTTGTTTTGTACTACTCTTGAGTGTCTGTGATGAATCAAGTTTCCATTAGAGAACTTCTGCACTTTAGCACCTTATGAGCTGGTACTTGGGATATTTTGTTCATTTCTTGTCGCTTAACTAGGATGGCTTGTACCAAAGACAAGCAACCAGCCTCTGGGCCGATTCAATTCCCATTAGAGAGAGAGAATTAAATTAAGCTCCAGGTGAAATTAAGTTGCAGTTGTCATGCTGATAATGGGTAAATCTGAGCCATTTCTCGAGTTCTTTTGCTCTTGTTCTTTTGCTCTAGGTGAAACTTAGGTAATACTTTCAAATGTGAAATTTCTAGAGATGGTCAACTTCTAGAAGAATGTTCTTCTCCTCTGTTGTTAGTTCAAACCGTTGTCTTGGTGGAGGTGGACCCCTCTCATCCGGTCTCCTTGGGGGTTTCCCAGGATTGTTTCTTTGGCTGCTCCTGTTACCAGATTTGGCACTCCATCCATCTGCTTTCTAGTCCTTATTACTAGAATCAGCTGTCTCTTTCCATTGAGCAGTACCTTGTGAGTTCTCAGTAGGCACAGCATTCCATCTTATCTTTCTCACCCCAACTGGATCCTGCATTAGACTTGGCATTTGGTCTTCCAATTCCATCTCTAGCATTCCAAGCAAAGCCTCCCCAAGTCACGCTCGCCTCCCGTGCTCACCTTTGCCCTCGTCGTCCTGGTAATTCTAGCTCTCTGTCTGTTACCCGACTGCTACTGCTGTTAGTTGTAATTTTCTGGATGCTAATGGTGTTATGTGCTCATGTTTGCAGGGTGTCATCCTTCTCATGTCTGGTTGTTCCTAGTGCTTTGCTGCTTTGCTTCCGTGCTGCTTGAGAATTTCCTAATTGTTCCTAGTGTTTTAGTACTATGATATCTGTTTGTTTTTTCTTCCTTAGTTCTGACCTATGAATTTATATGATGACTAGCAGTAGTAACATTTGTATATTTAGTAAAAAGTTAATATTTCTATGTGGTTCGTAGTAGAATTGAAAATACAGTTGCGTATATGTTGCTTGTGTCTAAAAATTCAGACCATGCATTAGCAGTTACCATGCATTAGCAGTTACCATCTGTTTTTCTCTTTATGGTGTCCATGTTATTGCATTTCTGCTTGATATGGAAAGTTACATGACAACCTTGCAACAGGAACTCTATGAATGTATTCAAGAGCAAACCTTGTAAATATATAGCGGGATGCGGTGCTCGAGATCACTCTTGTAGTGAACTCATCAGTAACTCTCTTTTCATTTCTTGAGAATGAAATGTACATCCTATTTAATTAGATGTGTGTCTATGGTAAGAAGAGTCCGTGTTTTCTGTGTAATATATATGCACTTGTCTGTATACTTATGAGTTGCTACACTGTGCCAAATGGGTTTCAAGCTCCTAAACATATGAAGGTCCCCTTCCACAGAATTCACTGGGCAGCATGCATTGCTGAAAGGCCCTTCTATGAGGATAGTTTTTTTAAAAATAGTTTAGTAATGATAAGTAATCGGATCCAAAAAATTCAGTTCTGGAAATATTTTCAGAGCAACATTATTATCGGATAAGAACCTTTCTGTTGCTTTTGTATTATTCTTATGTCATTCTATTGCTTTTGTACTTTTATCAATGGGATGTCTGTGATTGCTAAATTGGGTTGTTTTTGTGCTTCCAGGGTTTGGAAAAGATTCTGGACCAACACATGGTCAAAATCGCAATGATCAAATATAGTTTGACCGACAAATATCTTGATGGTCATTTCATCTTCGTATTCTCATTTGAACTAGTTTTTTTTATAATTATTTTTATTTATTCTTGATGTTGACAATAGGCATATTTCTTATTTCATCTCCAAAATGATGTGCCTCTGATTTTCTAATTAGAGTTAGTGGAGAAAAGTATTAGGTCTTTCAGTTTTGTTGATGAAACCAAATATTAGCTAGTATCATCTAAGCTATAAGATCTTACAGAAATGAACTAGTTCATAAAATTACTGAAATTTGTGGACTAGTGTCTAAACACTATCTTGAGTTATAGTTAATTCAGTTCAATGTCTATTAGAAATTACTTTTCTCTTTACCTCTGAATATTTTTTCCTATTCACAAGATTACTCTAATTAATGAAAAATGGTCTTTTGTAGGAGGCTTTGGGAATTTCTTAGTTTGATAACATATTGTAGATATGTTGATCAGTAGCCGTGCTTTGTTTATATGGTTTCAATAGCATTGTGTTTTGTAACTGTATAATGACATTGAAACATTGAGTCCATTGTTATGAACAACAATGATATGTAACAACTTTCATGCTGATTATATGTATCGAGATTGCTGAATGTAACATGTTGATGCATGGCTAAATGATACTATTCACGTATGATGAAATATGATGATAGTCATTAGTTATGAGCCGTGCTTGTAGACTTCATTACTGTATGGATTTTTCTGTGAGGCTGGCTACACAGAAATATTATTTTTAATCTGGGTGAAATGAATTTTTCTGTGAGTTCACTGGACCGACAGAAAAAAAACATGTGTTTTTCTATGCGTTTATTTCTTTTTTTTCTGTGTGGACTAACACACAGAAAAATTAGTTTTAATCTGGGTGAACACAATTTTTCTGAGCGTGTGAGACCCACGGAAAAATTATTTCTGATGGTGAACCCACAGAAAAAGTCGATTTTTTTGTCATTCTATTTCTGTGGGTTATTTTCTGACGGTACACCGTCAGAAAAATATTTTTCTGACGGTATTCGAATTTTTCCGTGGGTTTTCGCACACACAGAAAAAAGAGAGATTCCATTAGTGTACATCAAATATTTGAGCATGATGTCTAGGAGGAATAAATAGGCATGTTGACCCCTGAAAACTCCGAGGAAATAAATGGGTTATATTAATGGATAATGAGGGCCTAGAAGTTGATTTATTTTAGGACAATTTTCAGTCTAGGATATATTCTTTTCAGGGACAGAGGGCTACAAAGATGTAGATCCCGTTATGCTCTAAAGTTGTTATATATGCAAAAGTTTTCATATTTTTTGTGACAACTATTTCTAGATGTGGGCCTTACTTAAAAGCTCGTCGATGGTTAACGACCATTTTTAAAGGGGGTCTTTTTAAGCGGTTCACTTTTGAAAATCCATTTGTAGATACGGTTGTTTTTGGACTATCTTCGAATGGACCAACTGACTATGAAACTCACTAGGCATTTTAGGAGACAGTGTGACACTTTCTGACGGCCTCTGTTAATAAATGGGCAAGTCTCCTAAGATTGTTTTTGTAGTACTCAAGTTAGATGAAAACTAATTGTCCTTTAATTTTAATTTCATGAACCATATATAGTTAAGTATATGGTTTGGTGTCTCTAGTGTTTGCCACTGTTGTGGTGTAATTAGTGTGGGCCATTGTGGAAGTGTGTAGTCACTACTACAGAAAAGGTTTGTAGCAACGGCTCAATTTTTTTGTAGGGGCGGCTGGGGATAGAGCCGCCCCTATAGTGGGCATGCTCGGGACCCACGAGACCAGCCGCCCCTACAAATGGCACAGTAGGGGCGGCTCACTCACCAGCCGTCCCTGGTGT